TCATTTGGATTTGAGTCACACTATTTCTAATTATAACATGGGTGACAGTAGTGCCACTTGATTAGCTATGCAAGATTGGGAAGGCGTCTGCAACTCCACCATCCTGAGTGGATGGCAAGATGGATCCCTGTTCTTTCTATGAGTCGATTTCCCCTAGAAATCTTCCGTGGGGGCACCAGAACTCTGCGGCATGCCGTGAGGGCCTGTATCATTTATCATTGCCTACATTGTGCAGACGGCCAGAGGGCGTGGCACCGAGAGCCTCGCCGCCATCAAGGAGCTGACCAGCCGATGTCCAGATGGATAGGCCTAGCTGAGTTAGCGTGCAGCGTTCCGACCACAATGCCGCTATTCTGCAGGGCAGCATGATCGCTCTAGAGGGAGGGGATGTGTGAGGGAAGCCTCTATGCCTCCTCAGAAGGGGGGGTGGGGGGTGTGCATAAAGAAGAATGAAGTAGGATTAAAAAACATTGGGGGAATATAATGCTTTTTTAAATATAGACAGCAGAAGTTGGCTTATTATCATCACTTTATATCCTCTGTGATCAAACAGGTCTATCTTTTGAGTTTATACAAGTTCAGGATAGCCACAGATAATGTTTTATCAACTCAAACATATTTTGTTCTAATGTCATGTGAAAAAGATCGGATGATATTTTCACTTGTGTTCATGTAATAATTTCTGAGGAAAGCTGTGTACCAAAAAAAAATTCCCTTATGCAAAGTCCTGGAAATAACCATATTATTTTTCTGATGCATAAGGACAGACTTTCCTTTTCACATGGCTGCACCAGGGCTTTGGAATGTTGTACTCCTCTAAATAACCTCCAATCCAGTGACATCAAAATCCGACAATTTCCATATCACATCTTATATGCCCCAAAAACAGAGACGAAAAAACAACAAAGACACACGAGTGGCAGCAGCTTCAGCTCATGTTCTGGTAGCTGCACCTTACCAGAATCTGCCAGAAAAAAAAGGCAGCTGCGTCTGATATTTACACAAAGACTGTCCTAATCCCTTCCCAGCTAGGAGACAATGAAACCGCTGTGCGCCTCACAAACAAGAGAGTGAAACAGTGCTGTGTGATGGGGCTACTCATCTCCAGAAGAGGAAGCTGCACAGGTGCTGAGCGGCCCTGCAGCCACTTTCATTTCCTACCACTCTTCCGATACCAGTGGGCCGTGGTTCGATTAGCCACTTTGCATCTAGCAAGGTTGAACCATCAGAGTGCATCACTCAGAGTGTGCATGCACCTGACTGGACATTACAGGGCTGGATTAGCTTGGCTGACCAATACAGTTCTGTTCATTTCCGGATGATACACCTGTCTGCAGAAGTATGCACAAAGAAAAAAAAAGAAAAAAAGAAGGTGAATGCATCTATGGATCGATGCAATCCGGCCTGGCTGGCAGGGCACGTCCCTTACCATCTGTGATGCCTTGTTGCTCATAAGTGTCACCATGCTAAGCTGCGCAATACAGTAACCAATAAATCCCTTCCCTGTTATTGCGCTCACTGATTAAAAAAAAAAAAAAAAAAAAAAAGAAAGATAAGTCCGTAGGGGGAAGAACCAGCTAAACGCGGCCATTGTGCCTAGGTCAGCGGGGCCTTGGACAGGCTTCAAATGTGCAATGAGATGGTCAGCGGAGAAACAGAGGAGCCATTACTTTCCCGCTGCGCACATAAGCCCGGCACAAAGGTCCACATGTGACAGTCACAAAGCTCAGATTTCGCACAGCTTTAAGGATCCACCAGACAGCCCCCAGCCCCCCAAATAAACACATTGCTAATTATAAGAGCCTACACACAGACTTTGTCTGTCACCTCAAGGCCTGCAAAGTCAGTCAGAAGCGTAGCTGGACGGCTAATCTTGAGCCATCACTCAGGGCCAGAAAAAGGCAAACAACAGGTAGTGAAGGAGTGCGGCCCCACTTTCAGCTGTGATGCCTCTGCTGCCTTACTGGAGGCGGTTTAGCGGACCGGTGCTGCATCCACAATGAAAAACCTTTAGCAAGGATGATACGTTTCCACCCAAACTCCAGTTGAATTTACTCTCAACGCCAACCAAAGACGAGCTATGCTGAACATCCTGGCACACAGATTCCCAACGTGTTGCAGTCCGGTTCACTGGACTCCTACAGGGATCATGAATGCCAAGCCCTCACACCCTTACTCCCAGCAAGCAGCCAGGGTAACAGATTTCTCTCAAAGAAAACCCACTGCTTTAATCATCACAACTCACCTAACCAGCGTGGGGGCCAGGGAAACTAGTAAAGGACCTCTTCTAACCGATTGGTAGGGCTCAAATACGGAGTGGAGACAACCCAGACACAAACAAAATGTCTATGATTAGGTAATCGTTTCCTTGTTGGTGCTGCTTTGATTCTAACTCAAAAGCTAACTGCTGGTCAAACCTGTCAAAGCAATCGGTTATCAAAATAGGCAACAAGATCTGGAGAGATGATACTATGGATTCTGAGCTACCGCAACATGCCAACATGAACAGATAAGGCACACGGGCACTGAGATAATACACTAATTGTAAGGTTTGTTCCCTGAGAACAACCCAGGTCCTAGATCAGAGCTGATTAGGCAGATGTCACAGCGGCTGGACGCTCAGCCCATAAAATGAGTGGGAAACGAACTCTAATGCAGCATTAGTCAGTAGCATTACTCCACAACCACACGTTTTTTTTCCCAGTCTTGCCATGGCTTGCAGAGGTATTTGCATTTCAACATTTCAGACAGTTACGATGGAGCACAGAGGCGTCTAACAATGGAAAAGCTTCCAGGTCTGGGCTTCTTGAACTCAAACAGCTTTTGTTATTAATATAACAGCATTTACTATCCATTTAATTCCATATCTATTTAATTATCATTAATCCGTGAAGGACTGTTCCTGTAACCATTCAACTTTTTCATCGTTGGGCAAAACCATCTAATTTCAACAGACTGACCTGATCCTTGACCTCCATGTGGGGCCATGCCAGGAGAAGAAAACACATTTCCAAACTCACTGTCGAGGCTTCATCAGCTCCACTTGGCAGAGGCACTTTGCCCAATTATTTTAAAAATGCATTGTGTTTCCCCTAAACCTAAGGACACCGACTCAAAAGCCTGCAGTGATCTTAGATGCCTTAACAAAAGCAGCGAGGCGACAAGGTTCAATGTCTCTCCAAGGCAAGGAGGCTGAAACTCTGTGCTTGAGCCTGGTCCAAGTGGAGCAGGGGGAGGCTAAAATGGCCAGGTCTATTATCGGACAGAAACCTTCTGTTGTCGTCGCGTCCCAATACATTAGGAAACAACATCAACACAAACTGAACTTCCACAGGCAGTTCCAGCTCTGGTTGACTCCAGATAAAACATCATCACTGTAGCTCAAAGCCTGTCTCATTCATGGTCTCCATTGTAACGCTGGACCACAGTGGAGGAACAGAAACCGCTGTCAGGGGAAGAGGGTCAAAAGCAAAGGAACCAGTAACGATGTGTCCGACTATGGAATCAGATAGTGTAAAACCAGTGACTCGGTGATTTGAGGCAGAGCCACCCCTCAAACAACCAAACGTATATTTGAAAAACAAAACAGCCCAGGCACAATTCCAACGGCTAGGTATCCCTGTTTGTGGTCCCTCTATCCTGATATTGAACCTAGTTCCTGTACCGCGGAAAACGGGATAAAAATACGGCGAGACCTAGCATAACGCTAAAGTCTGTCCGATAATGGATCTCGTAACGTTAACTAGCAGCTAACGCTAAAGCTTAGCCAGCTTTAACGTTAGCCCCTTCATAGCGGGACCAGGTTATACGAGAGGCGTCTTTCGGCCAAATGTAAAAACCTAAACTCTGAGTGAGCGTTGATGAACGGCAATGACATCCCATTGTCCGCTCTCCCGGATCAACCCGTGCTAAAACATTGCAGCGGCGGCGGCAGCAACAACCCCGAGACAAAACACTCAGCCAAAACACTGCGCTTGGGAAACAACTCACCCCAAAGATACCGCTGTGCTGTCGACCAGATGTGGCTGCGAGTCAGCGATGAAGGCCCATGGGGGTCACTCGGGAGGTTGGGGGTATCCAGGTTTTGCGGTGGTGGTACCGGACAATCCCAAACGTGGCTCTGCTTTGACGGTTTGTCCGTACTCTGACCGCATATGTGTGTGCGTTCGCGTGTGTGCGGGGCAGCGCTCATCTGCCAGGCCTGCTGGAAGGAAATGGTCTCCGCGTCGCCAACGGGATGCGCATGCGCAGAGGGAGCCCTCCAGCCACGGGGCACAACGGTCTGTGAGCACAACCGTGTGGCCAACAGGTGAGACTGTCAACCGATGGCCGACTTGTTACACCTGGAGACTTCCACTGAGTTTACACGCGACCTGCTACGCTCCAAATGGATATTTGATATATATGTTACGCAAAGGCCAATTTAATGTTTGTTGATGTACTTTCTGATTTTAATATATGGAAAAAATAAAAATCAATGGATCTCTAACAACCTTGTTTTAAATGTCCACGATGAAAAAACATTTGGGAGACTTATATAATGAAGAACATCCTCATATTCATCCTGATAAAATATTGATCAATCAAAAGGGTGTTTTTAACCAACTATCCTAGCCAGCTTTACATAACAATTCTATATGCCTGGTAAGTTTTTTTTCTCTGTCTTTTTCTCCTTCTCACTTCAAAATTTATAAATACATTTTTTGCTTTTAAGATCCAATGATTAGATCCTATCCAGGGAGTAGAGCTCTGTTTAAATTAACAAAGTCTGAAGTGTTTTTCTCTGTTGAAAAGTGTCACGTTATTAAGCCAAGATCTTACACAGTCCTTTAAAACGTCAGAAACATGTTTGGGATGCCTGTGAGCTTTTAAAATTATTACTTGTAAAGGGGACAAGTGTTTGCTTGTTCACATATGTCAAGGAGGTCAGGTATTCCCACAGATGTGGTTATGTTTTCATGACTGCACACCAAAAAGAAGCATGTCAAATTAGTTTTACAACCCATTTCTTTAATGCACTTTGTTTTTATTGAAACTTCTATTCGTTTGCCCCCAAAATAACATTTGTAAACCAACAGTGGACGTCTTTCTTTACAGCACCTTCACCTGATCATAACAGTGATCACATTTTACAGCCAGTCGATCTTTGCTACACTTTAAGAGACAAAGAATTGTAGTTTGGAGAATGTACAGAAAATAATCTGCAGCCACCGTTTTATTACCGAGTGGAGGCTTACGGTACATTTCTTTACAATTCATTTACTTTTATATACAGATTTTTTAACGTTGCAGACGCAATAAATTATCAAGTTGAATCTAATCTGCCTTGTTCTACCTGCCGTCATGGGCAAATGTCTGGAGATGGGTTCCTTAAATTTCTGAGAAGCTGTCATTCTTTTTAAATAACATATTGCTTGTTGCTTTGTAAAACAAAAAAGGTCACTTCTTTGTCGCAAACTGTCACAATATTGGAAATGTTAAATGTGCTCAGAAATATTTGAAAAAATACAAAAATTAAATAAATAAAATATGTAAGTCAGCACAAAGTGAACAATGCAAAGACGTGCCAAACTCACAAACCCTCTGCTGGTTAAGAATCACGCTAGAAAAAGGTTCCATATAAAGTTTTTTTCTACTCCCAAACTGCTGCAATCCATAAAGTTGAACCCACCCCCTCCTCTTCACGCTCAGTGTTAGTGGCTAAGACCATCAGGATAATGCTCAAATCTGAAGGTGTGCTGCATCATTCCTGAGATGCAATCAAAATATAAATACAAATATAAACTCTACAAAATATTATCCGTATTAAATGCTACAACTTGTACAGTGCCTCACAGAAAGCACCAGATTGAAGGAAATACACAACATTTAATGGAAATAACACTAAGTTGAACATCAACTGTGGCAGACAGGTTGAGTTGTGTCCGGGTCAGTGGGTCAGAACCAGACTCCACTTGGAATCCTAAACGAGGAAACAGGAACTGTGGTCCCGTCGCTTTGAGTGAACACAGGAGTCAGAAGTCAAAGACAGACTCAGTGGTCAGCATTTTGTAAACACGCTCACAATGACACAGACCCCTTTATCAAAGCAGGGTGAGAGCAGGAAACCTTTCCCTCTCAAAAATAAGAGGTGCCGCACGCAACAAGTGGCATCTGCTGACCGGACAAACGCCGAGCTCAGGCCACCGCCAGGCTTTCATAAGAGGCTTCCATATGTGTGAAATACTTATGTAGATTTCTTTTGGTCACGTAGCTCCTCCGCAATGCTCATGGCTCCCTGGAAAAACAGGCCTCCCACCCCCCGATGCCTAAGCCGGGTGCAGTGGGATGACAAATTTACACCCAAAGGGTGAGTGGTAGCTGATCCCAAGTTCTTGATAAACCATTTTGGGAATGCCAACGTCACACAGGTAGATTCTGCTCTCGCTCCCAACTAAAGGTAGTGGGAGTCCTAAACACAGGGTCCACTTGGCCTCCACGGCCTGCTCGCTGGCCGGAGGATCAATACTTAGGACTGGAGCCCGGTTCCTGTTGGCCCAGTCAGCAGCTGACTGGTACCAGGACTGCTCCCTCAGCTGTGGGTTTTCATGGCTGTCAAGGCAGTTAATGATGAGGTCAACTGGACTTGCAGGTAGTTCTGGAACAGAAGAGGAAACATTAACTTCAGATGTCGAGAAGAACCGGGTTATCTCATTTCAGCAAACTCTAGCAGATCTCTTCTCCACCTTATGCATATAAAGATTTTTTGGGGAGAGAAAGTGTTCTAAATAATCAGTTGAGCCTTCCAACACTGAATTAGGATGTTTGAAGAGGTACATTTCCACTAGAGGGCAACATCTGTCTGTCCTGGTCTATCCCAACGGGACAAGACCACCTTATGCAACTGTGGAACTTAGCCACTTGGGCATTTTTACAGCCCGGTTCTCTACATGACAACTAAACTACGCGCAGGAAAGTGCTTCAATTAATTAGTGGGTGTTTTACCGTTGACGCTGGCCACCTGCACCCCACTCGTCCTGCTGTAGAGGCTGACCTCACCGCTGACAGACTCCTCCGTCTTGACAGAGTGGGGCAAGAACAGGATGACCTCCACCTCGTGGTTGGCCAGGTGTCTGCCGCAGCTGACGCCTTGGGCCCCTTGGAGGTGGGGCCCACACAGGAGGATGACTAGAGGCTTCTGGTGGATGTTTTTGGGGTTGAGCCTTAAATCAAAAGCAGATTAAAATGTTTCAGTAACGGGCCTAACTATGTTAAAAGCACATCATGACATTTTTAACGTCTCCATTTTTAAGTTCTGCTGGATGCGACTTAATTTCTGCTGCATTCTTTTTAAACTATATTCTTTAAAAAGGTAAAAGCTGTTCCCATCAATTAAAATACAGCCTAGTTTAAATTCTATAATTGTATTATTTTCACTGTATGATGTGGCAAATAAATAATAAACTAGTAATATCACAAGCTTCTTGACTTTTTTGTTTTGTTTTGTCAGAAACATTTGAACAGCCCTCTACATGCTGCAACACTAAGAGATAAAGAGGGTTAAAATATAACGATTTTCCTGTTCAAACCTTTTTTTAGAAAACATTAACAAATGACCACATTTTGACCAATAAGCGTAAACAGAGCCCGGCACAGGAGTAAACTTGAGAAGTTGGCAGGATTACTGGGTTACATAAATCCCCAGAAGCAACACCATCACGATTACGGCACCTCTGTAATGGTGGTACTTATCCTAATGATTTCAATACTAAGAATTCAATGGAAAAACTACCGTACATAATTTTAAGACATAGGTCAATATAAAGATCAACAAAAGTGAGAAAAGGCTAAACAAAGAGCTCATGACTTTATCTCTGGTATAACATAAAGCTAATGACTTTTGAGTGAACAGAGCTCACCGTGCTTCAAGGGAAAGACACACATGTATCACACAGGGCTAAAGTGATGAAAGGATTGTAAACCTCCTTGTTATGTAAGCCAAAGAACTGTGCTTCTGTTATCTTAAATGACACCTCACTGCTAATAAAGGTGCAAATGCCAGGCTGAGTTGCTATAGGCTGATAGCATTGTCTTGTGACTGCTTAATGTAAGCAGAATATTAACCCTGAGGGGCGTTAAGGTTAACCTCATGACACATGCAGAAACACACTCTTGTAGGGATAATTATCATATTAACCGGAAAATGTTCTCTGCCACTATAAAAACAAATTGTTGGGAGGGGACTACTCTGTAAGAACAGAGACAAAGATCGTTTTAACCTCTTATCTATGTGCCCTAAGCAACCATAAGTTTGGCGTCTTGCTTTAACTTCTGTAATTCACTAAAATAACTAGTTTCTTACCTGTTCGGTCCACCAAGCAGCGACAGAGCCATCTGGCTGGAGCAAACACCGATGGTCTCCAGCCTGCGCTTAACAGACAGGCCCCAACGCTCAGCAGCCTCCAGTAGGCGCTTATGAAGCCTATAGGGGATGCTGGGAACCACCAGGCCTGAATCTGACGGAGGCAAAACAAGACACAAGACACGGTGTGGATAATGTGCTCAGTTCGCTCTATATTTATCAGAAATATTGGCTATACATGTTTAAATATATCTGTATATGTATACAAATATATACACAAATATATACATTAAACATCTGGGAATGCTATCAGGTTTAAAAAATGAGGTAAAGAAAAAGATGGCATATTGAGCTCCACACTAACTAACTAACACACTGGACCTTACATGTATTCCACTGGTGGACTTTTCATGGTTTCCCTAAAATATATGGCTCCCATGTACATTTCAAACATTAAAAAAATCGATACATTAAAGGCCCAGAGCAGAAGCAGCAGACATAAATTTCCTCCATTAAAATCTGACTTCAAACACACATACACAGCGTACCATTGTTAAATTACACTTGATTTGTAATAGATCCACATTTGTTTTATGTCATTCTGTAGTTGAAAAAGGACACAGAACTGTGAGATTTGGACAAATATAAGTCTGGATATGTTTTTTTAATGTAAAAATTCACCTTCCACTAACTGACAGATGTTTAAATTCCCTCACTCCTGAATTGTGACTCATGATTCTGCATCTACGATCTACCAGCCAGAGTTTTTATTTTTCACATTGAGGAAAAAAGACAAAAAATGTTTACCCCAATTTGCCTGGTGGCTGGTAGTGATTTCCCACAAAGATCCTAACGTGAGTATAGCCCTTCCTCCTCCTCCTCCTGACCTGATCTTGTTCCCATCACGGAAGATTCTCTATTTCCCTTACTGTTTGTCACTGCTGTCTGAGGCAACAAAAGGATGACGGGACGCCTTTACAAAACATGGCAAACACAAGGTACTCGGGATGAGACGCCTATTCCCCGTGGGCCCTGTGTTCACACGCACCATTACCAGTACCCATCCCCAGCCCTGTGCTGTTGGACAGGGCTGCTCTGGGGTGGACCCCCCACATTGGTTGCCTTCTTAGTCAAAACACGCAGCAGGTTGGCGTGACAGAAAAAAAGAAGAAGAAGAAGAAGAAGAAAAAAAGAGAGGACAAACATCGCACACATCGAACACCTGCGCCTGTATCCCAACTGCGTGTGGTGAGAGATCCATCCAGTTTCTTAGCTGTGGCTCTTTGACCAAAGCCAACATCAGAAAAACCTTCAACAATAAAAACTATGACAATAAAACCCTCACAGAAAGCTGGTGTTATCCGGTACTTGTTATCCACTAGCTTTCTGCTATATTCCCTGTGTAGTCATGTGTGTACGAATATAGGATATGTTAATACTTCTAAACATACAGCATTTCTAAACTACCTCTTGTTTTTATTTATTTCAGTAACACAGAGAAAAAAAAAACGGCAGAGCTAAACTCGACTAAAGCCAGCCCCCATTCATTTTTATCATCCACCAAAAAGCCAAAATGGTAGCAGAAAATTCGCGAAAAATAAATCTCAGAAAAATAAACAAGATGTTGTACAAAATGTACAACATCTTTTTTCCAGCTGAAGGGCCATAGGGAATTGTTTGCACAGATGTGAAAAGTATAACAAAAAATGTTTTCATGATGAATGTCAGTTATCTATGTCAATAAGTGTAATCTGAGGTAGGCCTTACACAACTCAACTAAGGGCATGATAAAAACAAGGAGATTCTAAGCTTTATATACACAACGGACTCCAAAATGTTTCATAGAACTAGAGCTCTAATTGTGAGATATGACAGTACGCATCTTCAAACATTTAAGCCTGAGATCCCTCAAAAAGCTCTGACCATGTCACCCATCCAAGTGAGTTCTAAAAAGAGCTCCGAGGTAGGCAGACTGCTCTGTTTTTAATTTCCACATCTTAGAATGCACACCATACAGTGCATGCACAAACCAGTACATCCGAAATGAGCAAATACTGGCTGATGGATCATTTATCAGTCAGGCTGCAGAAAAGCTGAAAAACCACTTTGTCTCGCATTGTGTCTCACATTGGATCGCTCTAATCCCCTCAATGCCAAATGAGGGTGATGGACGACTTTTTTAAAACTGTGCAAATGTTGAGGCTTTGTGCGCGGCTACTTGGCGGGTTGGATAGCAGGTGCCTGCACGTAGGCCGGTCGGGTGCGTTGACCGATTCGGTTCCCTCGGCGGCCGCCTTTCGTTAGAGGAAACAGTTTAAATCCCTTTGTTTTCACGCGTCTGAGATGAATGTCACCCAACATTGTCAGAATTGTTCGCTTTTGTGTACATTGTGAATCACAACGTTACATAACCAGACTGCAGCCTTTTATCGCCTTGCAAACCGAAGTGTGTGCAAACCTTTAAAGGGCCCGTGCTAATCCGGAGATGTCTGCTGCCTGTGGCTCATTAAAAGGGTAATGAAAGTCAAGCTGGGGGAACAGCACGGCCCGCAGTCCCTTTGATAAATAAAGCTGCCGGGAGGCGGCTAAGTCTCTAATGGACTACTACAGATCTCTGGCCTGGTAGCTGGGGAATTTTTGGCCTCACTGGTTTGCACAAATTGACGCTTCATTCTAGAAGACACTAATGCTCATTGTGCCAACACTTGACCCAGACATGCAACATGATCAGAATCCCTCGTTTGCAACAGACCCTTTTTACACCAGATAATGACATATAAACACGGAGACTATAACCAGGCCAGACACAAAAAAAAAAAGAGAAAAAATCTTGCTTATCTTTTCTCCCCTCCCACTATTCTTACTGATACCACACAAAGAGTATTTGAGCGGGCAAAAGAAATGTGAAACATGCCGATCCTCGTGTGAGCGATAAGGGCAGGAAAGTCAACTGCTCCTTGTCATGCAAAGTGCTGCCTTGAGTGCCAAACTTGCAGGAAGAGGGAGTAGCTCTGAGTATGCGCTAACCGCTCCTCAAGCGCCCCACCTGGTGTGGCACTGATGCCGCTGCTGCTGCTGCAAAAGCAGCCATCAGCACACTCGCCATCCCCTCCTCCTTAACCTTCGGTGTTTTCGGCACACGCCCACTTTCAAGTTGACGAGCTCAACCGGGTGGCTGTGAGTGCACAGCGGTGCTAAAGCAAACTGAGCAGCGTGAAGTCAAGCTGGAGTAGGTCTACTGTAAAATTAATTTTAATGCTCTCAATGCTTTTATGACTTCTGATGCACAACTTCTGATAAGAAAATTTCATGTGAAATATAAGATTTGCAATTCTGAAAGAGTTGCAATGGAGGTTCCGGTGTTCCATTTGACTTTCATGGATCAGCTTGGGTCATTTAGCTTATTACACAAAAATAAAAAAATGTATACAAATGAAATAAAACATATATATATAGTTTTAAAAAATTGAAATGTGGGGGTGTCTGTTGTATCCACGCTTTGGTTTCACCACAATCAGAGGCAATCACAGCGGCGTTAACCTTACACATCCTCTTACAATAAACAATGGCCTACAGAAACAGTCCTGTCAAATCCCCATGTCAACGACGTAGTTCAACCAAATCTACAGCTGGGTGCTGTTTTTCTTTCGGTATTCTTCTATTGTTGATTTATCTGTTTACTGGCAGAGATTCCAGGTCAGAAGCACTGCGGTTTGTTCCTGTTTCAGAGGTGCTGTTTATGTAAGGCCGTAAGGCGGCATACTAATTACAGAGTGCAGAGGATGGGGATTATGATGACAGCCATGGGAATAAGATCTGTCTGCACGGTAAGTAAGGAAGGCAATGCTTGGCAGCTCTCTGTGAAAATGTAGGCAGGTGCTTCCTATGAACTCTGCCGTGTCACCACCTAGGCATAACATGGTAGAAAAATCAGAGAAATATTGCATGTCAGAATATCAGCTACTGTGCATAGCAATGAGTAAGACATGACCTTACTTCCTCTAAAAGACATATCTGGGTTGTCCTGTTTGGCTCATCTGATGTCTAAAACTTGAGATACGCAATTATTGCACAATACACATGACTAATAGAATGAGTTTGCACCTCTGGAATATCCCTTTAGCATGGGTTCACATTTGTGTTTCAGTTAGTAGGTCCCGTCCTTTCTTCATCCCTGGCTTATATTGTATTTTTCCAAATCCACCCTCCAGTCCATTCCTTCAGCTGAGCTTCAGTGCCTTTAACAGCCATCAATTATGTTAGAAACGGTTTCAAAACGGAACGGGTGTTTGTTATAGGGTGGTCAGCAAATATTCGCAACCTTAAGTCTCTTGACTTTATATATTGGAGCTCTGACTTCTCCTGTAATACTCAGACCAGTGACTGACTGTGGAAACAGTCCCCTCATTTCCAAAGAAAAAATAAACAAAAGACATTAAATACGATTTTGTGAGGATAAGAAAATACATATATAGGAGTTTATCTGGACAGAAAACTATACTGGAAATGCAACAGGGAGCTGAAAAGGAGGGACAGAGGATGAAGCAAGAGTCCTTCAATGGTTGTCAATGGTTTGCAGCCATCTGTTTGGGCATTAGCAGCATCATTTCTAAAGTCACAAAAAGTTACTGTACAGACTGATAAAGAAGGCATGCTACATCCTCAATATGAGTGTTAAGCTATCGGCAGAAGCTTCTTTGTCTCTTATATTTCACTGATGAAAATGTAACATTTATTTGCCTCAAGCTTTTGCTTTTGTTTCAGATGTCCATGGTATATGTTGCTCAAAGTAATTTACAAACTTGCAGAGACTATGCAGATTTAGTTCCCCTGAAACCTTTAGGACAGAAGCATTGGACAATCTAACCTCATTTAAAAGGCTGCTCAACCTATGTAAAAGTCTTTTCGTGCCCAAATTAGAGCTCTGAAGTTCTTTCTAGCAATCCTCCCAACAGCAATGCAGGGGGTTATAGACCTTTGTGACTCCCACAGTTCCTTTAAACTGCCATTTATCTCACTATATTACAAACTGATGACACAGCTGGATGAAAAGGGCTTAGCTGCTGTAAAGATATTGGTTGATTTCGTGCAGGATTAGACAGCTGCATAAAGGACGGGACGAGAGTTGATCACTAGGACAGGATTAAAGAGTCGTATATCTAAAGCCACCTGTTATCCATCCATCCATCCATTTTCCATCGCTTATCCGGGGTAGGGTCGCGGGGGCAGCGGCAGCGGCTGAAGGAGGGAAAGACAGATATCCCTTTCCCCCGCCACTTCTGCCATCTCCTCCGGGGGGATCCCAAAACATTCCATGGCCAGCCACACAGACACACATAGTCCCTCCAGCATGTCCTGAGTCTTCCTCTGGGCCTTCTCCCGGTGGGATGTGCCTGGAACACCTCACCAGGGAGGCGACCAGGAGGAATCGTTATCAAATGCCTGAAGCCACCTCAACTGGCTCCTCTCCACGTGGAGGAGCAGCGATTCTACTCTGAGCCCCTCCCGGATAGCCGAGCTTCTCACCCTATCTCTAAGGCAGAGCCCAGCCACCATGCGGAGGGAAACTCATTTCAGCCACTTGTATCCTCGACGTTGCTCCCTACCCCCATTCGCGAACAAGACCCCGAGGTACTTGAACTCCTCCACTTAGGGAAGGACATCCACCCCAACCCGACGGAAGGACTCTACCCTTTTCCGGTGAGAGACCATGGTCTCGGACTTGGAGGCACCGATCCTCATCCCAGCCGCTTCACACTCGGCTGTGAACCGCTCCAGCGAGAGCTGTAGATCACAACTTGATGAAGCCAATAGGACAACACCATCAGTGAAAAGCAGAGATGCAATCCTAAGGCCACTGAGACAAACACCTTTAACACCTTGGCTGCGAGTAGAAAATTCTGTCCACAAAAGTTATGAACAGAGCCGGAGACAAAGGACTACCTTGGCTGAGTTCAACTCTCACCGGAAACGGATCCGACTTACTACCGGAGATGCAAACCAAGCTCTGACTCCGGTCGTACAGGGACCAAACAGCCCGTAACAAAGGGCCTGGTACCCCATATTCCCAGAGCATCTCCCGCAGGATACCTCGAGGGACACGGTCGAACGCCTTCTCCAAGTCCACAAAACACATGTGGACCGGTTGGGCGAACTCCCATGCAACCTCCAGGACCCCGCTGAGGGTATAGAGCTGGTCCAGCGTTCCAAGACCAGGACGAAAACCACACTGCTCCTCCTGAATTCAACTATCTGACTGACCCTCCTCTACAGAACCGCTAAATAGACCTGTCCAAGCATGCCGCAGGCTTAGAGCGCGAATCTGAGACTTTCTCAAATGTTTACAAGAATGGAAGAATGTATTTTTATCAACCAAACCACCATAGCTGAACACAGAAAATTATATGAAATCTCCAATATGTCATCTGTTTCTATTTAGTGGAAGGATTTACTTTAATCAGTTGACCACTAAAAGATGGAGTTTGAACTTCCTGGTTCTAATGTAACATCTACTATCCTGATACCTCTCTCACACCTTGGACTCCAAAGTCTGTGTTTCAGCACCATGTAACTTCTATCTGTTTTTCATCAATTATGTAACAATCCCGGGTGAGCAGGGACAGGGTCATCATCTCTCTTAGCTTTCACCAGAGCAGGTCAGAAGTCACAAACCTGATAAACAGTAACCAGGGGGTATATCATGCCAAAGGGAAACAAAAAAAGCACTGCGTCCACGGTGGGTCTGTCCTCATGCTTCATGCTGCTTTCTTTGTGTCAGACGGAAAGATTTACAGCAGCCCATTCTTTAAAAAACTGAGAGCTTATAAAGTATCAACTCTAAAAAAAAAAATGTCTGCTTAAGTCCTGCACCGTTTAGTTCATGCTGGAGCCGTGCTTCCCTGCCGTGCTTGTCCAAACACTGACGTTACATAACCAGACTGCGCTCCTGGCCAAAGTTGTTTCAGCTTTGGCCAGTGGAAAAAAAGAAGTGTCTGTCCAAAACAAACTTTGCTCACAAAGCAGTCGTGCTCACTGATAAATAATGTCCAAAAGATAGACCTTTTTTTTCTTCTTTTTTTTTTTTAAACCACAAGTCTTTTCCCATCAAATTAATTCCGGGTGATCATCGTAGGGTATGCTTGATGTGACAGAGAAGTGATACTTATGCCAATTTGTAGCCACCGACTTAAAGAATGAATTTGAGTCCACTCTACAGTACAGAATCTGCACAATAAAGCCTATGTTGTATGAATGTGTGTGCATCAATGTCTTACCAGTAAAGTACTCTTTACCCCCCTGCAGAGGTACTGTTATCTGTCTATATATAACAGGCTTCCCCTCCAGAATGTTCTGATCATGACGATAAGACTGGGGTCTCTGCTCGGCCTGCGTGCTCTGATGCTGTGCCTTGTTGCTGGCACCACTGGACCCATCAATCTGGGAGAAGACAGCGGCCTTGTCAAAAAGGGCCAGGTTTCCTTCAAAGTCAAAGTCAGTGTCCAGGTCCACGTCGGTCCGGGCCCCGAAGCACTCGTCATCCTTTGACCTCACTGGCCCGCTGGCGCCTCCATTCCTCACGCCGTTCCTCCTCTGCGCGGCGTGTGTCGAGCCTCTGCCGTGAGATGACCCTGTAGGAGCTGAGCACAGTCGGATGATGTCTCACAAGCTGATGATGTGTCAAAGTTTCAACTGTAGCCCCCCCCTCCTTGTAGAACCTACAGATAAAATCCCACTCACTGTAATGTTTAGGATTTGTGCAAAAACAGTAAAATGATCATCGCAAACAAGTAAGAAGTGTGTCAATTTTTTGGGGACAATTATTAGCCTGCGAAACAAGAACAATTAATGGATCGAGGCAAAAAGTGTTACATAATAGAATATGTTGTCGGGGGCAAACATGGAATTTTCTGTGTTGCTCTTTGTAGTAAATGTTGGCGTATGGGAAACGCGTACCGACATTTTACTGCAATCTGTATTGAAAAATCAATACTTTTACTCCTTTTAACACAGCAGATTAGATTTACAATGGCTGCTGCAGTCATAAAGGGATCCTGAGGGATAGAGAGAGAATGGACCAACATGAAAGCTCAGCTTTTTGCTTTGTTGTAAATGCTGTTAGCTGTAGCTTCCCCGTACAAATAAACAAATTAAGGCATAGACAAACAAACGAACTAACAGATTCATACAAATGAAGTCCACAAACTCAGCAGTGTCATATTCTGCACAGTTCACTAGCGGTAGTCTGACTGAGACTCATGGTAAGTGCTGATTAGCCGCTGAAAAAACAAACCCCAGCTGACTCCCAAAACACCCAATGGCAACACTCAGTAAAGTTTACATACATGTAAGTACCAACGAAAAAACAGAATGAGCCAAGAGAAAAAAGACGAGAAAAAAAAGAGAAAGAAAAACTGGAAAAACCTGGCCTTCAACTCCAGCCATCCAGAGCTCTCACGCTAACAAGGAGACAGACAGGCACAGTCGCACGCTACTGTCAGTGTGACAGCTAAGGTGCTGTGGCCTCTCTCACGCAAGTAGCTGGGAGACTCAGTCATATGCATTAGTGTACATTCAAAACTTTAAAAAAAACAACACCCTAATCACTTCAGAGCATTTCACATCTGATTAATATTAGAAGAAAATGCCCTGTCTTCCAGACAGTAGAAATGTTTAAAAGATCACTAGAGCAAAATATTTACATTTGTGCTTATCATTTCTCTTGAACACAGACATGCGAACCCTCAAGGGTATGGATGGGATTGAGCAATTAACGGCAATCACAATTAGCAAGGCTGCTTCAACTTGAACACTTGTTGGATTGATGTGTTCATCTGTGTGAATGGGGATAGAGGTTAGCTACCGACTCCTGTAAGCCAGCAAATGTCTTTATTTACAAGGAAGTGTTTTGTCATGCTATGAATCAAAAATCTGTCTGAAATGGGCAGCGGGCCAAGTCAAACAGGCTAATGAATAACATGCACAGTAAGCAGATTGTGAGCCTCCCTGATTTCACATCAAACAGACTTTTAAGTAGCCACTACACATCAACACAACTGCAGAAGGGGGGGGGGCTATGGGAAAACTGCTCTGTTTTAAATGCAAAACTAATAATAATAATGCAGAGCGTGTGCTCTGGTAGTAATGTTTATAGAGGTCTTACAATTAGTTACCCCTTCTAGGTCATTTCTTTGCATTTCTGCAGCATGGACATTTCAGTTTTTAGTCACGAGGACTGAAAACTCTTGTGACCGCCACCTCCCAGGATGAAATCAGTTCCTGACACGAATGTGGGAATGAGTTAGGCAAAACTATGACACCCCAGACAGAAAACAGGAGAGGCAAGTACAATGCACTGTGAAATGCACAGAACGGAAGGCTGTGATGAAAACAGTAATGAAAACACTGTCGATGATGGAGGAGTGGAAGCAGAGTAACAATGCTGAACAACAGGAGCAAAGCACACCAATCTGCATTCCATTAATCTACACTGAAAACTCATTTACTGCTGTTCTGAACACACGAGCTAACTAAAGCTAAAGCTTAAATTAAAGCCGCTGAGTCTGTGTGGTCGTGACTGCCTCCAGATCCACGGACGGCATGTGGGATGAGCCTTTTTAAAACATATCAGAGCGAATGGGGGTTGCAGCAGAGGTCATAATTCGCCTGTGTCGGCAGGACTGAATTGAGTTAGAGTTAAAACACCCTTTGCATTTCGCTAGTTATGGTTTCATATTTTCCTATGCCGACGTTTACGGTGAAACCTGAGTCTGAATAAAATTTTCCTCAACGGACACCGGTAGCATGCTGGTTATGCTAACCCTTTATGTAAAATGAGCCTCATCCAGAATGCGAATGTGTGCCTGTCTGATGGCATTTGCCTGTGCTTCATTGGGCTCCTGCATCATCCACAAAAGCAGTCGGTCGCTAACACTCCCTTTCTACTCTCCCAGAAAGATCAATGGCTGATATTCAGAAACCATTCCTGGAATCCGTGATCTTATATAAGCAAAAGTCCACCCTGTTTTCCCTTCTTTGTGGCCAGGGGCTTCTTGGGAGCGTGGCATTGCGTGTGAAAAGACCTGCCCTGCCCAAGCCACTCAGCACATTGGCCCCATGCAATTTGGGCATTAGCTCCCTGGCCACCAGCCTGAGAGCAAGAGATTAAAATAAAAACTCGAAAGGTAAACACTGCTTCCACAATTGATATCACTTTGGCCTTCCGAGCACACTGGGACAGCAGGGCTTCCTGTCGGGGAGGGGGTGTCGGTTTCCTGTGCTAGCCAGGAGTAAAGTGTGGGCAGGGAGATGAAGGGAGAGCGGACAGGAGGGCACAGAGGCACGAAAGCCGGGCTTTACATAAACTTCTCTTTAGGAGCAGACACAGAGAGGGAGGGGGAATGTTTATTGATTTTAGTCACACACATATTGTAAAGAGGAACTTTGGTACAAGGGTTTAGCACGCAATGGGAATCTTATTGGGGGTGGGGGGAGGTCATTGTTTGGTCCCAAGCTCAAGTTTCTCAAAAGGGAACAGAAATGACACACTGGGTTTCACAGAAACCAGGATTCCAAAATAGGACACTTTTCTGACTTAGTTATTAAGTGAAACAGGGATAGAAAAAAATAGGAGAGGGCAGTTTCCAAATGTGTAAATTCCATCGCTCCTGCACAGAGGGTCATTTGACAATGCAGCTTTAGAATATTACACGGTATGCATTTGTCAGTTTTATGACCTCTGACTTCCCCATTGTTTGCCGACCCTGAATGTGAAAGTGAGCCCACTTTAACTCATTCCGGCAGAGGCTGCAGAGCTGTCCAAGCAGACTTCCTGCGGACTGAACATTGACAGCAGGAAATGCTGTTTTTAACTTATCTAATCAGGAAGGTTAAGTTCCACGCTCTGATTTTCACAGCCACATGCACAGGAGAGCGCAGGAGGCTCGTAACAACCTGTTTGCAGAGCAAATGTGTTTGCAATTTATCATGTTTGATTTTTTCTGGTCTTACCACATTTGGATTTCCAGTCAATTAAATTATAACTTCCACTGAATCATACAGTACGTACAGGGTTTTAATTATCAATGATTTCTTTAAAAAAACTCAAGAGGATGTAATAAGAGGAAGAATAATCACCTCTGAAAGGTTCCGGATAGGACTGCTGTTCACAACCTGACCTTTATCTAATGTTTTTAAGATGCTGAACATATCACGCACAGGCTAAAACTGCAAATGATGGGATCACACGCTACTACCAAACACTAAGCACAAAGCTTCCTCCTCTGCGCAGACTAAGCTGTAATATAAACAATAACATAAGCCTCACAATAGTAGAATGTTTTGGCTAGGGCTACTTTGTTTAACTGCATTCCTGTAACTCTGACATTCATTTATTTAGGCTTGTAAAGCAGTGGGTGACATAATTAAACAGAACCAAACAAAGTCTCACATTGTCTTGAATGGCAATTATATTGATTGTTGAGGATAGGGTGAAAAATTAAGCAAAAAAAATATTTTAACCATTAAAAAAAACAATATATGAAGGGTGTAATTACCTGCTCCGAGCTTATAGAAAAGGCATCTATGCATGTTCCCTAAAAGCCAAATGACTGTTTCAAGTAAAACAGAAGTTGCTTTGCTGTTATTTAAAAGTTAATAATGAGTACTAACATCTTGACATTATGAAAATCACTGAGCTATTGTGACCCATTTGCTTTGGTCAAAGAACATGATTTATTTCCCATTCTTTAACAGAGTGACTCTCCAACGAAATCTTCTTCTGTGGTCCAAAAACTGTGAAATGCAGCACTATAATGAGTAAGTAAATACCTACAATAATCCGGACCTCGTATTTTTGTGGAACCCTCAGTTAAATTGTTTCATCACATAGGAGTACCAGAACAAAAAAAAGCCAATACTGAAAATAAAGCCAATTAAGCTGTTTTGAGTAATGTTGAAGTGTTACATTTAACTTAATTAGCTTATGAATATTTTCAAATATGCTTTTAAATATTCGTGGTCATAGCTGGTGAGTCATGTCGTCTCATCAATAATCTTGATGCTTTATGTTTATATATTTGAAGTATTTGCTGCTCAAACAAATGACCAGCTTTCAATAAGTTTTCTTCCAGTGGGGAATGGCCTTTGAAGTGCACAGTAATTTTGTCTGATGGAGCAAATGATTAAAGAACAGAACACATTTTCACACCACTCCAAATCAACTTCCTCCTATGCCGTTATGTTAAATTTATGAGAAAAAGTCAAATGCTTCCTCAATATGAATATTCAGCCTCTTTGGGGCTCTTAAACACCAGCACATCTTGTTCACTCACCTCTGCGTAAGATGGTGATTGGAGCAGAGCCAAAGTTGGCGGCGTCATTGGAGAGAGTGGCTCTGTTACCCTGACCACGTTCTCCTCCTGATGTGATGCTGGAACCTGTTGCTAATCCCTGTCCAGAGCTTTGCTGGTTGACTGTGTTTTGAATATCAAGGAATTTCAGCTCCTTGATATCCATGGCACTAGAAAAAAATAATGAAAGAAAACAAAATCTGACCTTAATTTCAGATCAGGCAAATTAAGTAGAAATTATATATTTTGTTATACAGAACATTTTACGTACACTTTTATTTGATGCCATAATAACACTTCCTTAGGAGTTCTGTGCAATGTTTTCTATCTATTTTCATGAAGTGAATAAAAATCTGTGCTTCACTTGTTATAAGGTAAAATATGACGATTTATAGGAAAGTACTTTAGATTTACTTATTCAAAAACTTTGAAACAGCGGTTTTCACTTAGTTACTCACAGCATATTCATTTATCATTTGAACTACAAATATGGGTTATTTGTGGAACAGATACATTTGTGGAAGTGAACTGTAGAAGCAAATGTGTCAGAGCAGAGGTAGCATCGGTCCTTTTTCCATACCTGAAGGTGACTTCAGGAACAGGACACCTGACTCCATTGTGGAAGGGCTGTCTCAGTGAGATGGTTTGACTGGCGCGATCAACACATGACACCTTTCCCTGGTACACTCCAAGTGTCACCCCGCAGTTTATGGAGACCAGGCTGCCCAACCAATCCGAGCTCATTCTGCTCACTGCAGTTCAAAAGCACACACGCAAACAAAATAAGTTTTTCAGACTATAATGAACACATGGTTTATTGATCCTGCATTTAAAAGCATGTAAAAACACTAAGTGCTAGAACCTGCCCAGTAGTATTGTCACGATAGGGGTGTTTTTTGTCGCCTTATTTTAATCTTTAAAACTACGTGGAAATATGAGCAAGCATTTTTTAAAGTATATTTTAGTTTGTGACTTAAAGACAAGACATTTAAGGTAAAACAACAACAACACTTCCATCCATGTGTGGTCAGCGTTCAAAGAAATCTAGCTAGCTGTCAAGCTAGCTTGATAGCTAATAATAAAGCTCGGCTCTTTCTGTTGTTTAAACGTATCTCTCGGTAGGTTTTTGCGTTTTCAAAAAAGTGTCACCTGTGTTTAAATACTCAGGTTGAGCGGATTTAGTCAAAAACTGAGACATTTACCTATTAGTAGAGTCTGTAGTGAGCCGGTGTTGAAGCTGGTGTTTTTTTTCCGTGTTTATGTATGACGTAACTTCCTGTATGTCCCACACTGATTTGTTCTGATTCTTTTGTGCGCTGAGATTAAATATGTGAAACGTGAGAGCTCGTTATTATTGAGGATATTAGTCATTTTATTATTTGTTTGTGTTGTGTGATTGTCGTTAAAAGAATGACACTGTGAACGGTATTGCTTTTTTTATTTTATTTCTGTTATAGTCTCTGACAACACGTCCTTGCTTGTGTTTATTATCACATACATTAGAATAGCAAAAACAGTCCTGCCTTATATCATATTTGAGAATAACCTGGTATATCCCGGTAAATCATTTGGATGAAGAAGCTTTACACTTTAAATGTATACAAATGCTTTAACCATGAAAAACTCCTACAAAAAGAAACCTTGATATACATAGACAAAATCACATTCTGGGATACAAATATAGCTTCAGTGTTGACCCCTACAATATCATACAATTAATATATTTAGCTTACAAATGCCAATGGTATCATACTACGATACCTGTTAACTTCAGAGTGTTGTGTCACAGACAAAACACAGTTTGCAATGCCCTTCATTCTATTGTCCGTCCAGTTAAACATACCATATGTTTAAAGTCTGAACCAATCCTATTGTACAATTAATCTTCTCTGAATAGGAACTTTTTGATTACAGAATAACACAGCAGAAGAAAGATGCATTTCCTTATACTTCACTGAAAAGCACAATCCATGTTTGGGAATTGCTTTGGGAACCAAAAAACATGACAGAGATAAGCAACTTCTCAGACCATTTGGAATGAACAAATTGGATTTCATTGCCTCAATACCATCAGCCCTAAAGACCAAATTTGGTGTCCTGTTCCACGCGTTCTTTGCATGTTCCCTATTATATGGACTCTTAATATTAAGCGTCACAGTCGTGATAAACCACTCTCAGAGTTGCATACTCATGGTAATGGCTTCACTGCTGATCCTTTTCTCGCAGTGTGACTCTCAGGTTGCAGCGTTTGTGTTTCATTGTGAGGCCATATTCTGGGGTCATGTCCAGTGGCTCTCCGGGCAATTTGTGGAATTTGAGCCTTTGAATAAAAATTGCCAAGAACAGGAAGACTTCATTCCGTGCGATAACTTCGCCGATGCAGCGGCGTCTCCCCAAGCCAAAAATCATCACCTTCTCTCCATATTGCCTGTTGACCTCACTGCCATCAGCACTGAGAAAACGGTCTGGGTTGAAGGATTCTGGGTCTTTCCACAGCTCACTGCAAAGTCCAGAGAGTGGAGAATTAAGGCAAACTTTGAAAAAAATCTAATAAGAGAGAACATACTATAATAACAATAATTCATACAGGCATAATAAGGGTCCCCTGTGTCAATCTTGTAACGTTACACTGCTATATCATAATTTTTTAGGCTCTGCTGACAAAGTCTGTCAAAATATGTTTTACGAGAAACTTACGGATCACGGTTGATCTGCCACTGGTTGATGAAGACACAGGTGTCTTTGGGAATGAAGTAGCCATTCAGAGATGTGTCTTTTGTGGTACTAAATAGGGGGGGAAATGTGTTATTCAATTTATTATTCAAGTATTTCCATCCCACACACCCTTATCCCTGCAATAGTCATTTTTCTGGATCCATCTTTCCAATGTGGTAAGTTCCGTGTCATTCGTGCCTAGTTATTTAAAAAGCTTGTACTACTTTCCTCCATTGAAAAAAAAGATCATCCTTACCAGTGTGGGATTGTAAAGGGCAGGAATGAGGTATGGCGAAAGAGTTCCAGCATGAAAGCCTCCAAAAGGGGTAGGTTGTTCCTATCAGAGAGGATTGGAGAGCGATCCAGGCCTACATTGTTCTCTGAAAATTAAAAGCAATATCTGAATGTTTGTCCTAGATTCCATTAAAGATTCACAGTTAGCCCTGAAAACATTATTTCTAAAATGTTCCATCTTCCAAGAGTGATTTATTATGTTCAACATTTCTCAATTTACGTAAAAATAAATAAATAAATAAATAAATAAGTATAAAGTGTTATACTTACTTATTTCTTCATAAAGCCTCTGCTCTATCTCTGGGTAAGCAACCAAGTACATCATAGACCATGACAGAGCAGTCGAGACGGTGTCGAAACCTAGAGGCGGATAGAACATGGGTCAGGATACTTGAGGTCCTCAAATTGAAATGACTTACAATCAAATTTCACAACATGCCTTCAACCTACCTGCCCCGAACAGGTCATTGACAATTCCAACAACCTTCTCATCTGACATCTGGATATTAGAATTCTCATCCAGTTTCCTGTCCTCACAGTGATCAATGAGGGAGTCGGTAATGTCTCGGATGTTGTCCTGCAAGGAAATTATGTTGCCACCTCATTTAATCTTAAGCACCCACTGATGAAAACAGGAAAAGCTATGTTTTTAATTTTTTTAACTGAAGAAATTGGACTGGAATATAACTGATAAAGAGTGTGGCGTACCTTGTCAAAAGTGACATAGTGTTCGCTGACAAGCTTTTGAACGAAGCTGGTGAAACGCTTGTTGAGCTGAACAAACTTCGTCATTGATTTGCTGGGCAGGTACTGGAGAGCAGGGATGAAGTCGGCCGGGTTGCCGCTGCCTGTGACTTGGACGAAATCCTCCGTCAGGTTCACCAAGCCCACCAGCTCCTGGTCGTGGTGGTCGTAACGTCGTCCGAAGCACATGCCGCAGATCACGTTGGCGACAGAGACGACAACGTAGCGGAAAAGGTCGCAGCTCCCCTCAGTCTTCATGATATGGTCGAGCTCTTTGATCAGACACTCAGACTCTTTGCAGATATGCTCCTCCAACACACAAGAGTACTCTGGGGTGGTGCCCTCCAGGTTGGAAAAGGAGCGAAGGGCGCTGTAGGCCAGCTTTCTGCGGGCCCTCCACACACCGGCACTGTCAGTGCTGAAGGACAGACTCTTGCCATCGTTGATAAAGCGGAAGCTGTAAAGATCAGGCCTGCCGGCGAAATCGTCCCCTTGTTTGGTGAGAGCCTGTCGAACTGTTTCGCTACCGCTGAGAACAACGACGGGACGCATGCCAATCTGGATCTGGAAGATGTCACCGTAGCGCTTGCCCATTTCAGTCAGGCTCAGGTAAGGCTTGCTGCCAAGTTCCAGCAAGTTCCCGATGATAGGCAGCGACTTGGGGCCGGGGAGAGGACGAAGTCCCTCAGGGACCTCAGTGCGGAAATGCTTGAGGGTAAGGTAGACCACACAGAGTGTCATCAGGGCTATCAAACCCTCAAACACGGACAGTGCACCAACGAAAGGCAGTATCATCAATGCCATGACTAGAACTGTTGCTCCGTCTTCTCCACAACCTGTGAATTAAAAAGGAGGGGCAGGGAAGGCCGGGAGGGGAAAAGTATTGAGCAACACGTTGACAATATACTCTGTGATCTGTTCGACTCTTTGTCTAATACTTGAGGGCGCTTGCTACATATCTGTGCAAAGTGGTAGGTGTAAGTATAGGCAGTTGTTTATTACCTATGCTATGATTTAAATTCTAATGAAAGCTAGGTGCATGCTTGTTGGAAAGTTATTCTTAAAAAAAACAACAACTCTTATTTCAGTTTTTAAAAAGTCTCTCCCAATAGCCATAGAGTCAGCTTACCTTTGATGAATGAATAAAGATGAAAAACGCTGTGATCCCAGAAGTGATCCTCAAAATTTCAGACGAAGGCAAATGTACTTTTGTTGGAGAAATTGTCCGAGTAACTTCCCTGGATGTCTTTCAAACGGAGAACGGACTCGTACTTTATAGAGCGCTTCGCAGCTTGATTGGCTCCTGTCTGTGACATCACCATCCTCTCCCTCTTTCTCTTTCTCCCCCTCTCTCTGTCATGAATGAAGTTTTTTTTTTCTGTCGTGAAAAAAGTGAGCATGGGTGCGTGCTTTTGCATATGTGCTGGTCGTTGCACAATGCGCGCGTTGCGCAGAGCTTTGGATCTTTTATTGCACTTTTTATGTAGCTACATGCGAGGGATGATCGGGTAACCGTCGAAAGCAAGCATAATACCACACGCTGTAAAACTCATTATCAGTGATATCAGCGTTCTTACGTCACCTGCCGTTCTGCAGGCTGCTGTAAGAGCTCGCAGATGCAATCATGCCTCTCTTTTTTTTTATTTGGCGCAAGATTCGGCGTGTATCGGGATATCCCTGATGCAGTTATTTTGATATTGTATTTATTGTTGTTTTACATTGTAATTTTGGTCAAGTTAAGTCATACTGGGGAAGCTGATTAAGCTTAACTCTGCAGGACTTATAAGCAAAGTTCATTATTTGCTCGGATAAATGATCAGTTGCAGTTATCAGATTGGATCATGAACAAACTTTCCTCCGCAATGCCTACAAGAGGTGGACAGTAACAGGACTTTGTGACAGATCCCGCGACAACCTCGCAGACTTGGTTGAAGTCCTGATAAATTGGAGGGAAAAAAACGCAGTCAGACGCCATTGCGTGCTTGTACCTGTGTGCTCTCGGCGGGAGTTAAAGATTGACCAGTTGCGTGAGAGCGCAGTGATCAGACCCTCACCTCCCCTCTGCGGAGGATGCTGGAGAGAGGGGGTGGGAGGGGGAGGGTATCTGTGCTGGGTTGACGAGTTTAACACAGCTCGGCGTTGTCCTCCTTTCAACCTTTTATCACCACATTTTTACAGGTATTGTGGGCTAATAGTCCCACCTATCGCTCTGGTTTTGGATGAACGGCTGCACGCTGCGTTTTGCTTGTTTAGATTGAGTTACGGAACGTTTCACATGTCAACACAAGAAACAATGCTCCATCACGAGGTTGGTTTGTGTCAACGAGATTCTGTAGAACCACAGTGTGTTGTGTGGTGCTGCCTGAAAGCCCGTAAGTGAACCAAACGGGTTTTATCCGAACTGGCACCAAGCGCATAAGAGTGGACATCTCAACCTTCTGAAGCCTCTTTAAAAAAGCCTCGCTTAATTTCAAATTCAGGCCCGATTTTACATGCAGTCTGAAGTCCTGAAAATGAAAGAAGATAAAAGCCTGAATCCCACAGATCCATTTGATATCGGCCAATAATTTGAAAAAAATATATTTCTAAATCTTTGTCCCTTCTTTGGAAGACGAAGAAATATTTAGATCGGACTGTCCTCTCGAGTCATGTTTGGGATATAACCAGAAAATATCATAAAATTCAGTTTTGATTGTGGATGTCTAACCCGTCACACTGAATTGTCCAAGTCATTCAGCTTTAAACGAAAAAAATATCTTTATCACATCCAGATAGAGTATGACTGCTGTTCGTTGCAATCTGTTTATTTATAGATGTATTTATTCATTTTATAACGCAAGTTCATGAAACACTAACTTTGAACTGGGGGTATGTATAGAACATTTTTTAAACCTATCTTTCCATGAATTTTCTATTTGAATCGTGCGTTGATTCAAAACAGCTTTGGCCTTTAAAACTTGATTTTAAAAAACTACCTTTAAATTTCTTTGTTCACTTTAGATAATGTGTGTTTAGATGATTCCTATACCATTTAAGGGGTAAAAAATGATGATGTTAGGCTCAGTCAACTTTCCTTTGGATCATTACAACAACAGAAAAACCCACAGAAAGCCGCTTGAACAAAACAGTGATCACTGCTGAGGCAGAAATCCAATGTGCATATATTGTGGTTTAAAAAGGAGGTTTCAGCTGTCAAAGTGTGTGTTTGCTCATCGGTTTTTGGGAATTGGTGCTCTGATCCTCTGGGACTGCATGTATGGACTCCACAGGGACTCACTCTGGTTGCGCCTCGGCGCTGCGCCTCTGGTGCTGAAGGTTGCGTGAGAAGCGGAGCTGTCGTCCAGAGGGGAGGGTCCGGGTCTTCTGGACAATCCTAAATCTGCTTGGTCAAGTCACGCAAAGGCAGCTGCCTCTGGAAAAGACACAAGGGGTTTTAAACTCATAGAACAAAGAGCGCAAGACGTTAGATCCCTTTTGTTTTCTTTCCCTCCCCGCCTGCACGAAGGTGCACATATTTGCGCGCTATAGCTCCCGTAAATGCGAGGATCTCGCGGCTTTGGAGTCATGCAATGTGCCAATCAGACTACATTCATTGTAGTCATGCAGCTCAGTAAGGCCGAAATGAAGCGAGAGCCTAACACCACGCGACAGAAGTCGCCAAAAGGTGTAGCTGAGGTGTACCTATAGTTTCACCCTCTGGCTCTAAAAGACTGAAGGGCATCGAGAGCCCTTCTCTTTATTAATTAATCAATTACATTTTCTGAAATGTTATTTAAAAAAGGGAGGAAAGATAAGGGATAGGTTTATTTGTATTTATTTACATGCGAAATAGTACATTTTAAGTCAAGTTTTATCCATTGTAAAGAAGAAGAACACCATAAATTGATTTTAATCTAATTTAACTTGATTTTAATCCAAATGCAGATTACTAAATGTCCCCCTTAATTCTAATCACTCAAATTAAGCTGTTTGCCACCATATGACTACATTTAAGCACATAATGACTTTGCATGGCATGACTGTAAATATATTTTGTTTTGAGAATGAAACTTGGCATATATCTGATTACTGTTTCAGGAATTTAGAAAACTGCCTCAAAACAGTTTAAGTTGTGTAAATCTCTACTTCTTTTTAAGATAATATCAAGAATAAATTCACTTTTTGGCTTATTTTCTTTAAGGGAAATCAGCCAAAAATGTTAATTCAGACAAATCAGACAGTTTTTTAAATATGAGTGGGAGACATTTGTAGATCACTGTGGAGGCAGTGGAGGGAGAATGTGAGAGTCCGGCCGTTAGTTGAAGGGGTTGAACTAAGTGCTGAAGTAGTTCATGCATTCTTAAAAAGATTAAAGAGATTACAGGCTATTACAGAAAGTGATCAGAGGGGCTACTGTACACATCCAAAGTTTGCGTGTTCGTGTGAGCGTGGGGACAAAAGCGGAGGGTCTGATCAGGGCCAGACACATGCTCTGCCTGGAGGTGTTCGGCGTTTGCAGCCAGCTTCTCTGTGTCCATTTCTCACAGAGCTGGGTGGAAGTGAGGAAAAACAGAAAACGGAGGAAAAAAATGTTTTGCCCGCAGCCATGTACCTCTTAAAAAATTCTTGGACATAAAAGCAGGTGTAATGAGTGTGAAGGTAGTTAGTCTCTACTCACGCAAAGGCTGTCACGCACACACCTACAGAGCAGGTGTGTATCCCTCTGCCTCACCGTGTGAGTGGCTCTCGTTGCATACCAGTGCTGCCAGGAGGCTGTCCCTTCTTCCTCTGTGGTTATTTTTATGATTTAGAATCAGACTGAATGGCAGTCATAAAGGTATAAAAACCTTTCCTTAAGCACTGCTTCAAAAGATGCTCAGACAGCCAGTAGCCCCTCTTTAATGTTTATGCGTTACTCTCTTTTAAAATTAGAATCTCGAGCAGCGAAGGCTGTTAGAAGAGAGTGCAAAATGGATGCTAAGTCTAGATTTTTTAAGAAAAAGTTACTTTCTTAAGTATCTACAACAGTAAAACCCCAAACTGGGTAACATCCTTCTATTTGACAAAATTCCATCATAATGGACATGCATTGTTGAGACGATGTATAGCAAGATAGTTTATTACATTTAAATGTACAGAAAACTAAAGAGCTTCTGTGAATGAAATTGCTATATAAAAGTGGGTACTTCCCCACTATCCAAACCAACAGATTTACTTTGGGTCTCTGTAAAAATTGTGAGGCTATCCAGCACCAAGGTTTCCTATTTACAACTATGAAAATCCAGAATTCCTACATCACACATTTGTCTGCTAATACATGGCTCCAGATTAATAACCTACAGGCAAGAGGAGAGTCCTGCGATTTCAAAAAGCCAAGTGTCCCTGGGACAGAAGCACTACAACGCACTTAAAAGGCCCAAATACTTGCACATCCACTAACAGCCTCTTGGCTGTTGCCTGTGCCCCACTGGATAAACTTTAACGGGATTCGTCTATTGCACAGGGCCTAACACAAATCAGCCTATTTGCATATTGCTACTTTGTGCATGGATTGCAGTTATTATCAAAATCATGTTCTACAAGCAGCAGATTTAGAGCAGGTCAGTGTGTGCATGCGCCATGCTCCATAAGACTGATGATATTCAGTGTGATTTATGATCTTATCAAATGAGTAAAGTGCTTAACTTAACAATTTAACAGCTTTTTGTTGCTCCCTGGATGTAGCCGCTCTTATCTGAACAGGTTGCGTTTGTACTTTGCAGTGCACTGCTCTGATTGCTGCTGGCTTACTGGCGTTTAGACATCAACCCACAGCAGAACACACAGAGTTTTTGAATATCTAAAATTTACCACAAAGGAAGGTTCTCACCGTATTCTTCTTGCTCAATTTTTGTCCCTTTCTTGTGGTGATCTCAAGGAAAATGTTCAACGTAACCAACAAGTGTTAATAGTTAAGTGTTTAGATAGAAAAGAAGACAATGAAAGTGTGAAACAACATGTAGTCATCCATACAAGGGTCAAGAGTTTAAAAAAGAAAATGTTTGAAAGGACTCGCAGTTTTACACATGCAAGTGTAACTTTGTATTGATACATTTCTAACTATTCGAGAGTTCCTGAGTATGTTTTGTTTTTTTTCCTTGCTCGACCAGGTTTTTATTGATGTCCAATAATAGTCATATATATTTTACACCGACATTGAGATAATTTATAAAAAATTCTTTTGATGGTAGAAACACATGTTGAAAAGTAAGAATATATGCCGAAAACATGCTTAAACACACTACTAATTATCTTTGAGTAGGCAATTAGTATGGAAGAAATTCAAAAGTAAATATCAGCAAAA